ATCGGATAATTAATGTCACGGATATAAATGTTTTCATATTTTGATCAAACCGGCTATACTGCAGAGATGTATGTTTGATAGAAGCGATGAAAAGCTCATCAGGGATATTGTCCCTGATGAGATGAACCAAGTTACTACTGTCTTAACCCGAAAAAAACGTACGTACGTTGTATATGAATACGTCATACAGGGTATATTCGAATATATTTGAATAGTACGTACGTTGGGGTACTTATTTGCAGGAGCTTGTAGTACCAGCCATCGTTTTTTTTCTTTTTTCCCCTCCAATCTGATTGGGAATTTCTCCAAGACCCTCGGACAAAAGTTGTTTGTATTGCAATTTCGTACATCATAGTTTTTTTTCCAGATTTTTTTGGATTATTTTCAAAAAATCGAAATTCTTCAGAAATCAGAAAACACTGCAAAATGCCCTCAAAAGCTAGGGAGATATCCCGGGCGCCCGGGTCCCGATGTCACGCCCGGATTGGGGACCGGGTGACCGGCCAGGCATGACCCCCGGGCATGGCCCCGTGCAGCCTCAGGGCAAAGAAGAAAAAAGAAAAAGAAAAAAAAAATCAAATCCAAAAAAAACTGAAAAAACATTATGTTGTGTCGAATTGCAATACAAACAACTTTTGGCTGAGGGTCACATCAGAATTCCTCACAGAACTAAAGATAAAAAATAAAAAAACCATATCACACTAAGGCACCCCCCTTTAAACCCCTTTAGCCCCTTTAAATCTCATTTACACTCCCCTTTCCCCCCCTTGMCAGCCAACACTCAAAAAAAGAAAAAAGCCCGGATTTGGGCTCCTCTCGGAGAGCGCGGAAAAACCCCACCACCTTTTTTTTTTTTTTTTTTTTTKCCATGACCGGGTCACCCGGGCATCAGACCCCCCCGGGCGCCCGGGTGACCGGCCGGTCAATAAAATATTCCTAGCTCAAAAGGCTCAAAATATATTTTTATTCTTGTTTTTATTTTCTTCTCAACAACAAACAACCACCAAAAATTCGGTTGTGAAATTCGACATGACCCTCAGGCAAAAATTGTTTGTATTGCAATGTTGTTCAACTTTCGTTGTTTTTTTGCGGAAGTTTCTGATTTTTTTTGAAAATTTGAACTTAGCAAATATTCAAATACAGCATATGTACGTTGTATTCAAATACAACGTACGTAGGTTATATTGGACCGTACGTTCTACATTCGGGGCAAAATCAGTGATTTTGGAAAACCCATTTTTTCGAGGTAAGTTGAATAGCATACGTTTTTTTGGGTTAAGACAGTAGTACGATGCCTCCGTTTGGGACCTTGAATTTTTGTTTTTACAAAACAGACCCAAAAGAAAGCAGCCACATATTGTCCTATGGGACATCTGCTAAAATTGGAGTGAGGCCATGCTATTGTTTAGCATGGCCTCTGTGCAAGGATGACACACATAAATCGAGAAATGTCTGCAATATCACACATAGGTGCCCTCTGCGATTGTTGCTCATATGGGAGAGTCTTCTGGTCACATGTCATAGATCAGGGGTTCGAGCCTGGCTTGGGACTCTGGGGGGGTTCTTGTCCAGCTTGGCCTGTCATCTCTTCAAAGAACACAGTTCCCCTTACATAGTAGTGCACATATCTGGCCTTTGGGCACATACATCTTACACAGAGCATATATAGCCTTCAGGTATACACAAAAACATGGCCTGTGAACATACACATAGCCTACGGGCTCATACACACATAGCTTCCGGGCACACATATACATACAACTATAATACCGGGCTAGGGGGGTCTATCAGGTACATGGCGGGGTCTGCTCATGCATTGGCTTAGACTCTAGGATAGGGTAGAGATATAAGCCACTCTGGCTAGTCTTGAGTTCCGCCTAGCCTTGGAGGGACAGTAAAGAAAAAAAGGATGTGTCTGTGGGTGCCAGCTTGCCTTGTCTAGGTACTCCTGCTGGGCAGACTCTCTGGTATTGGGCCTGTAGGAAAAATATTGCATGAGCCTGGTGTCCGAAGTTCCCGTACGGCAAGGTTCGTCCGCTTCGGCTTCCAGTTCCACTCCTAACTAAACTATATTCTTATCTTGCAGGTTTTTTTCCCCTGACCTGGAACTAAAAACGTATTTTCAAAAAAATATTGGAACTGTGATGACCTACATTCTGAGCCGTGTGATTCTCGCACCCTCCTTTCTGATGTCGGGTTGTACTAAACTTCTGCTTTTGTGGTTGGTCGGGTTGCCAGCGGTTCTTGATCTTTTTACATCGGCGTTTGAATGAAAAAATGAATGCAACTTTCAAAATAATTGTACTCTCTCTCTCTCTCTCTCTCTCTCTCTCTCTCTCTCTCTCTCTCTCTCTCTCTCTCTCTCT